TATTTTGCCTGATGAACGTTAAAGTGAGCGCATTCATTCTGGCGTGTGTGACCAGGTCTATGAACGGCGCTCTCGTGCAGCTCGAGAGCTCCAGATCTCCACGGAGCTAACGCCTTAGCTAAAACATCCTCTTTACCGTGGGCTTTATAAAAAGTAGAGCCCACAAATGCGACCGCCATGGGCAGCAGTGGTCAGCGCAGCATCTACTCTTTTATGTCTATGCTGTTGAGGACGGACCTCTGTAATGAACAAATGTACACTAATGTGAATAAATGAAAATGTTTTGTTGAAGCTACACTGACAGAAAAACATGTCTGAAGATATTTCCTGTTATTGCGTTTACATTATATGCACTACTAGTGTTTGTCAGCGTGTTTCAGTAATTATAAGACCTACTTTTGGTTTTTATAGATTCTAACAGAAGTTTTATGCTGACGCTACAACTTTTTGTGCTGTGCTAAAACCTACGCCCTTTATAGCACCAGTGCTATAAGCTCAACCCTGAGAAAAGAACATCCTCGGAAAAACGCGTTTACTACATCACGTGGTGCTTACGCGTCTGGTGGTAAGCCTAACCCAAAATCGTATTCCAACTGTTGCTGCCATTTTAGTTTTACAGTTTTGATTTATGTACGCACTAACCTTAGCACAGTCTAGACGTAAATGTGATTTGTGTGTGTGTGTGTTTTCTGCATGAAAGTGTCTATACATGCATGCAAAACATCCTCTGCATGTCTGGTGGCGTGCCTATGTGCAGGTTTGACTGTGAGCATGTGTGTGTGCCGATGCTCTGTTCTGTATGCGCCGTAGCCCGTGCCAGCTGGAATCAGAAAGGTTGACCTTGGTCATAAATATCTAATCAGTGTTTGCTGTCCATGAAAAAGTTCAATTTATTCCTGACCCAATGGGAAAATGCCTCAGCCAGAGCCTCTCTCACAGACAAAACGAAATTCAACTCAGAGGCGGTGAGGGGAACCTTAACCTGGTTTGGATGAAGTAGGACAGACGCTGCATCTAAGAAGAAAAAAAGAATAACAGTTCTCATCATCTGCTGATGAGAAGTCATCACCAGGAAGCTACAGATGGATAGCTCTCACAAAACCCCCTCGTTGTTTGTTTGGCCCAAAAAGAACTGTGATATGGTACGATGAAAAGCTATCTCAGGCAGCAAACTATTGGATATTATGTGTTTGATTCTGCCTCACTGTCAAATAAATAAAAGCCAGGCTGAAATTGTTGGCTTTGACACCACGGCTCCTCATTCTTCCTTATTAGGACGTTTTCTGGAGTGGGAAACAAAAACACCTTCCTCTTCTTTAAAACAGGTTTCCTATAATAACTGAATGCAGAATTTGCCGCAAACTATCAGAGCGCACGCATGCGCTGGTGGGTCCAAACCAACAGAAACACGGCTGGAAGGAGACCGTAAAAGAAAAGAGAAAGCAGGGAATAACTTGCTGTTTGACTTAATGAAGCCTGCTACTGTATTTGGCCTCGTGGCGGCCTCTCAGTGCTCTTATTTGCCTTATTAATATGCACGCTAATGTACCTATTTTATGGCTCAACAGCTCTGATTCACTTTAAAATCAATTATCCATCTGGTACACCCATACCTCGCTAAGGCTCAAATGTGTATTAATTTCAGCAAACATACATCGGCACAACACAATAAAGATAAATGCCTCGATTAGAGGCAGTAAACAAAGGAGCTGAGGATGGCTTTAATGAGATTTGGCACAAAAGGAGCTTACACTTTCTTAAATAATGAGCCTTGGGTCCTTTTTTCCAAATGCAAATTATATAAAGGAATGTTTCGCTGTCCTTGTTCCAATTTCATTTAGATAAGAGCGTCTCCAAACAAGTTGGCTGGTTAATATTCTCACATGAGCACATCACTGCCTTTCTGCCTGGCTTCTCCCAGCGGAGGGGAAGGAAGGGTGCCCTCTGCTCCTCGCAGACACTTTAGTCTGTAATAAGTTCTGAAAAGTTCACTGTGCTTGTTAAATACTTGGGCCAGATGAGATGGAACCATCGAGAGACACACTTGGCTGGACTCATCAACACTTTTACCACCAACAACTGTGTAATCACTCTCAGAGAAAGGTCAGGCCTGCAGTAACCCGATGCTTTAAGTGACTTTATGCAGACGAGTGATGAGACGATCGTTTGGACGTGACAGCAGACGTGATGTAGGCAAGGACTTTGCTGCCTTTTTCCATTAAAATCGTTAACCAGCTGAAAGATGAATGTAATTTTTAACTAAATGTTTCAAATGCTCTTTGAATCCTGAAGGAAACTCGTAAGTTAAATGCTTTATTAAAAATACTAATAATTTTAATCACTTTTGAAACCCTGATCATGAACGTCCCTATGACTCCCACCTCTGCACACCCATCTTTGTGCATGAACCGCACATTTTCTGAAAAGCTGTGTGTCTTACCCCTTCTTTCCATCGGATGTGAAAGCGACTCAAAACAGCCACGAAACTTACTACGCAGCAATTAGCCGCTGTTATAGGGGGTGGGTTCCTTTCCACCGGCAGCTAACCGTAATGTTCTGGACGCGTCCCAGAAGGGAAGGGACACTATCGTTACATTTGGAGTCTATTTTTTACGTCCAAAATTCCTTAAAATTCAATTATCAGGCCAGGCAGGAATTCAAACACAAAAGCAGTGTAACACCGGCCGCAGAAGCGTCGCGAAGCGCCGGGAGGCGAAGCGCTCACGAAATTCGGCCACTGCTCGCTGCTCCTCAGTTCAGACCAGACACTTGTTTCTCCGCTCCGGTCGAGGCGCGCCTCGGCTCAGCTGTAGTTTTTCTTTTAACCACTTGGTGTCCTCCATTTCCTCTCTGCCTTTTCTCTGCTCTTTTCCTCTACACCCCCCTCCCCCTTGCTGTTTGTGTGTGTGTGTTTGTAATTGTGTGTGAACCTATGGTGTGAACAGTTGTTAATAGCTGGCCTATGATTTTCTGCCTCTCTGTCCTGTTTGCTCCGGTTGAAAGACACCCAAAACCACACCCCCTTCACGTGGTCACACACACACACACACACACACACACACACACACACACACACACACACACACACACACACAAGTTTGCTCTGTGTGTGTGTGTGTGTGTGTGTTCGTTTGGTTTTTATGCAGTGTCTGTTTACGAACACTTTTGACTATCACAGAATTTTATTCAGAAATGATTTATTTTGTTAAATTTACCGGCCTGCCTCTTATGTCTAGGTTTGATTTCCTGCCAGAATTGACACGGTTCACCCGCGGCTCGCGAAAAAAATAGAGCAGACGCCGAAACGATCGCTGCATGGCGCGGGCTTCGGCGGCCAATGTGGCCAATAGAATAGGATAACAAGGGCGCCGAATGAAGGCGGTCCCCGTTTTGCGGCGCTTCAGCGGCCGATGTGTCCCAGGCGTAAAGCATCTGGAAACTTTCAAAATAAAAGACACATGCAGGTAAACGTACGTCATTTCCTGAGGTGAACAGAACATTAAATAAGCCACAAACCGTTTTGCATACAAGCATTTCTCCTTGCTTTTAACTTCTGAAAACATGAGTGGTGTTGTAATTCTCCCGTTGTTTTGTGACCTCACAGAACCAGCTGTGTGGAACGCTGTCGCTCCCATTTTGCATAAGAATAGCTTCCGAAGAGAGCCCGCGGGTAAAACGCCTCTATTACGTCACATGTCGCTTTCACGTTCAGTGGAATGCCAGGGTAATGCACGCATGTGTTTGTCGGGAGCTGGTAGAGAGGAGAGAATCAGGTGAGGGTCGGTTCTGGAAGTTTTGACCCGTTTTCGACGCTCGTTGGTGTCACTGAGCTTCTTTGGTTTTGAAATTATAAATAAAACAAAAAAAGTAAAAAATGTCTTACTATTTTATCTAGCAAACTAAATTGGCAAATGGTAAATCAGGTGCATAATGTTAGGAGTTATGACAGAAAATATGCAAACATGTTTAAAATGTAGGATAATTAAATATTTTTATGGCTGTTTGAAAGTCTCTGTTGCAGTTCTGCGACGGGGAAGCCTGAGGAGGGGGGGTTGGACCTTAAAATGTTTTTTATTTGTTTAATTTGCCTGAACGGCTTTTTCCAAGACTGTCGACAGCACCGTTGGAAGCTAAGGAAGTTGGAACACAGATAAAAATTTGCTGATCTGTTACTAGTACTTAAAACTTTTATGTTTATTTCATAAATTTCCTCAAACATTATACATTAAAAAACCCTCATTATCCTGTCATTATTTTAAGATTTTTTTTTCATTTTTTTCATTTTTTAATCTCTAATAAACAATTTGATGATTTTTTTAAACATATTTACAAAGTTGTATAAATCCCCAAAACCTTGGTGAAGTTACATACGCCAGGGTGTTTTTATGGAAACATGCATTTGAATTGTGTTTCGCCACACATTGAAATGATATGCATCTGGAATATGAACGACAAAGCACTTAGCTGGAATGATAACACGATGGATAGAAAGGCTGAGCAGGGGTGGGGGTGGAGAGTGCAATAGTGTTAAATAAAAAGGGACGCAGGCATGGGCTGGATGGTAATGAAGAGGGGTGGGCCGGCAGCTGAGGTCCCTGTAGATGAGATCTCTCTCTGACATGTGTGTCCCCTTCATTACCCATTAAGGGGGGCACAGTGATGAATCCTTAATATGACATTACACCAATTTTCCTCTTCATTTAGCCTGCTAATGTGCTGGTCTGCTCCTATATGCCCAGGGGCTGCCTGTACCAGACTCAACCAGAAATAGAGCACAGTGGCCACCGGCGGCACACCTTGAAGCAGCCTAATTAGGGGCAGCAACCACCTAATGGGGCTTTCTAGACCAGAGTTTACTCAGGTTGTTTAGGCAGCAGGTAGGAACTGATGCCTGAAGTCTGTGTGTGTGTGTGTGTGTCTCTGTGTGACACATTTCTGCAAATTCAAAAGCTGGAACCAAACAGTGCATTTTACGGCTTGAATGCATAAAGGTGACTCACTCAGCATGCCCATCCCCAGCATGAAGGCATCCATGGTGTAGGGTAGACCCCTGGCTCGCCCTCGTGTACCCGGCGGGAACATCACCTCCTTGGGCTGGGCCTTCTTACATTCTACCTATGTAAACAAACAAACAAACACACACACACACGTATGCACACAAAGGCAAACCATTAGAGTGTGTAAGGCACACAAGCAGACACATCTGACAGGGCTGTCTCAGCTCTTGTTTGTCTTGCGCACAGCGAGATGTTCTCCACAGAGGAAACAAAAAACAACAACTTAACCCTCGGCTCCGTATATTTCAGAAACAGAGACTCCAAGGGAGACTCACAATCATGCTCCTCTTGTGTTAAAGCAAAGATTGTTGCACCAGTGCGCACGAGCCCAGCGCCTCGGGGAAATGTTTGAAGAGTTTTAAAGAAATCACGCTCAGTCCCCTTGTTCGTTCTCTTAGTTGTAGTTGGTTTTTAATACACGGGAAAGTACAATATCCAAGGCAGGAATAACACACAAAAAAACGGGATGATTCACTCAGTTTTGTTGTGCATTTTAGAGGAAAAGTGTCTTTCAAACGGAGGGAGGAGTTGTGTTTTGTGTTGGCCTGTTGTTGCAGGGCTGAGTGAGGTCCCCGGTGTCCCTCTGTCTAATTCCACCTGCAGCACTCATCTCTCTCCTGCATTTATTTCTCTCACTCCACTTCTCACACATACAGGTTTGTTCATTTCCCATCTTGCAAGTCTGACATCCCCTCCTCCGACATAACACATACCAAATGAGGGATGTGACGGGGGCAGACGAGGGGGAAAAGAGGAAGATGAGAGTCCTATTTACCAACGCATCTATCTGATCTCCAGGAATTATAGTGAAACACGAGCGGCTGACAAAAGGGGGGAGGCACGGTCTTGTGTCTCTCGGTTGTTCTTTGGTAGGCTGAGTCCGTTCACCATGCTGCGCAATCTATTTGCTCCACTGCCTGCTTGGCATCAGCCTGTCCATCTGTTTGTCTGTTTGCCTCCTGGCTCTTACCGTCTTCTCCCCACTGCCTCCACTTAAGCGGGGGTTTCTCGGCTGCTGCGATTCACATGTCATCCTGGCCTGCTGCACAAGACAGACTCCTGCGCCCGTGCAGCGTGCACCTCAACTAAGGTATATCCTGGCTGGCACCCATATAAATAGGCCTGCAGCTCTGACAGGCCAGTGGTGAACACTGCCATTCACACACGCGCCAACAGCGAGGCAGCTATGCACGCTGCTGCAAGTGGCCAAACTGGAGAAATATACTTCACGTCTTGAGAGGTTTATGTGGCTAATCAATAGCGTGACAAGCTCCGTATACAACACCCAGCAGAGAACAAGAAATGTAAAACAGGGAACACAAACGAAAAAGGTTCCTATCACAAAAGGGAAGTTGCTGTGCTGCAAAGCTGTGATTTGTTGCTGTTAGCAGCTCTTTTATTTGAAACAGACCAACTAAAGCACACAGTTCCCTCAGCCACTTTGTAGCTGTCACAGCTGCTCTGGACTCCTCGCTCGCCTGGCGCGGTTTGACATTGTGCTGAGGAGAGCGCAGGAACTCTCGCCGTCGGAGAATGACCCCCAGCATGGAAGCAGGAGTCGGCCGGGGCCGACGGGTGTGTTAAAAATCTCAGCACACTGCTGGGACTTTCATATGTTCACATGGCTGGGTGACAAATACGATCGAGTTCCACCCACACCGCAGACATGCTACCGTCTGATCAGCGTCCTCCACTAACCCCAGCCACATCGAGCTGGTTGGACGCTCAGGTATCCTGCTGGGAGTAAGACAGAGCCGTGTGTGAGTCATGCCTACATGCTCTCAGATACGAGTCTTTGATATTCAGAGTGAGGGCTCCTTGTCACGGATTTAAAACCAGTCAGGAGCCAGGATCTGTGGTGGTGTGAGTGTGTGGGTGTTCACCTGCTTCAGACACACAGACGAGTGCGAGCGAGCAAGCGAGCGAGTGAGGGAGGCAGGAGCTTTCAAGAGTGAGACAGTCAAAGACTAAGGAAAAGAGAGGACACTGAAACAATTCAGCACCTGTCAATGAAAAACCACAAAAGGTTCAGCGACTGTGAGGACACACATTAAAATTTCACCAAGTGGAAAGTTTTACCGACTGAAGCATTTGCCTTTTTGCACCGAGTCGTCAGGTTGTGCAAGAATTTTACAGAACATTGACTGTCTAAAGTGAATCTTGAATTCAGTGGCGGCTCCAGAAATGTTTTTCTGCAGGTGCTATGAAGGAAGTGGTCGTGCGTACCTATTGTTCTCTAAAACACCTTCAACGCTAGCAGATACACATGCGTGCACAAAACCTCAACAACACCTGAAACAATCATAAATAAACATCACAAACATATGAACAATCGCTGACTTTTCTATGAAATCATAAACACATACAGCCACACAGAAAACCATCTATAGTGTTGCAAGGTTAGCTAATGTTAGTGTTAGCATTTCCAGCGGCAAAACCCTCGACTGCTGTGGCGGTTGAGGGTTGACTCTCTTCTGTAGGTTTTTGTGGGTCTGAGATCATCTCCAAAGATTCATTCGTTTCTGACTGAACCCGTGGAAATTTGGGCAACAAAAACCCGATCCATTTTACCACTAGCTCTACCTTTCACTCGTTCGCAGGTGGAAAATGAGGTCAAAGGTTAACATCAATTTCCTGCTTTGGTTGAAGATTTTACAATCTATATGATAATTTACTGATTATTTTTGTTTTGTATGTTAAATATTATCACATCCACACGTTAAATTAAAATTCAATTGTAAAAAAAAAAATCTAATATTTACTTGGGGGTGCAATGACTAATCCAGAGGTAGCTATAGCTCCCCCCTAGCACCCCCTGGCGCCACCACTGCTTGAATTTATAGTTGGTTCAATATATTATCTAAAGTTTCTCAGTCCATTGTGACAAGTACAGCCAGTATCTCACTGGGTTGTGAGTACTAGACCACCACCAGACTCTAGACACCACTTCTACAGCCCTGACGTTACCCTCAGAGACAGAACAAACACGGATGCTACACTGCATCCATTCTGAAGTTGTGCTGATGCAAGTCCTGCACTTTAACGCCTGATTTATACTTCTCCGTTTGCGTGGGTATGGAGATACGCAATGCTATTAAGCGTTGGCACAAGGGCTCTACGATGGATTCACAGAGGCTGACGGAGACAAGCCCAATTTTTTACCTATCTGTTAAAAGTGACGGAGACTGCAAGCCTGTGACTAGTCAGGACGCCGCTTCCTATAAATTCGTCAACAACATCGCTATTGTCTCTTCAGAAAATCAAAAGCGATCCAAAGATTTTTAGCAACAGACACGGAGCAGACTGAGGAGAGTCTCTCGGAAACAGTTCGTAACTATAATCTTTTATTCACTCATTACTAAGGAGGAACAAAGCGTTTCATTCATGGATGGAAATGATAGGTTTGGAGGTGGCGACCGCATAAAGAGGTGGAGGAGAATGAGGGACACATTTGTCTGTATTATAAAGTCTCTGAAACACATTAAAACAATATAAACACAATATTAAATACATTATAATGGATCAGATACATGACTGTCATGGTGGCAGGACACCCCAGAAAAGCGCTATGACCTCTGTTGTCCTTGCGGGGAATTGCTTCGCAACACCCCCAACGTGATGGAGAAGTTTAAAGGGAAAACATCGCCATCAGTGTGTGTGCACGACGCCACACTGGAGCTGACGAAGTATAAATCAGCCTATCAGTATTGTGAGTTTTAATTTTTTTAACCTTTTTGATGATTCCAGTGACACAAGCATGAGGCCCTGTAGCCTGGTGACACAACGACTTAACAGTTTTTTGGGAAAGGGGGTGTGTTTTGGCAAAAAAAAACACTGTTGGTAATATATATTACGATACGTAGAAGACAATACGGCACACTGCAATACTAAACGAGAAGATATTTTATTTTTAAAAGTGAATTTACTTAGAAAACTCGTGCCACATGCTTCCATGACACGTGACATCTTTAAGTCAGAATGAAGGTGGTAAAAACTGCTGCCACCTAGCGGTTGGAGTTAGAATTGCACCACACAGAAGAAATCCAGTAAAAGTTTGCATGTAAATTCTCAATTAAAAAAATCGAAAATATCTAATATCGATTCAGTATCACAACATGAAATATCACAACATCACAGTGTATTAATATTATCTTACATCCTTAAATATTTACACACCAATGCTTTCAGCATACACCGAAAAACATTTCTTTAGTAATTCACTGACACACTGCCGTAAAACCATATCTTTATGAAGGTATATTAAATATTGTCCATGATTTATTGGCTGTAAAAATGATCCCTTAATGTGAGGTGTTTATTAGCACAACTTTTGGTTAGACTTTGATGGTTATAATTTACCAGCGGCCAGCTCTAGATGCTGTCTGAGTAACTCATAGCAGAGTTTAACAGGGGTATAAAATAATCCACACTGGCCTGAAACCAGCGAGTAGGACCAGAGGACAAATGTCGACATACAGATGTCAGCAGTCACTCTGGTTCTGAGTCCAATGTGCTGAAAACACTAAAGTCTGACATTAACTGATCTAATTAGACTTTTTTTGCTCATTTCTTTTCAGAATAAATAAATGATTTGGGTCCAAGGTCCATATCTTTTTTGCTTTGCTTTAATCTTATTATCTGTTTGTTTCCCCTAATTTAACAAGCTTGCTACAGAAATAAAGATACAGAGAAAAAAAACATCAATGAGACAAAAATGTGTAATGTCAGCTCACAGATGAAGAATAAAAACACAAACAACTCTCTTTGTTTTGAATGCTCGACAGGAATGACACAGAGTGGAGCAGCACACCAGTTATGACCTTTTAAACACATCTCCCATCTATATTAACCTTGTAGGTATAACAGAGCAGTGTGGGCGGGATGGACTGGCAGTGACTGTCCTTCAGGGACGAGTGTTGTGGGTGTGGTGTGTGTGTGTGTGTGTGTGTGTGTGTGTAAGTGTGCAGAAGGGGAGGCGTACAGCTGTTATTAGCTTCACTAGTGAATGGATTCCATCAGTCGACTGGCAGACTGGAGAAAGGAAACGGTGTGATTCAT